TGCTATAGGACGCATGCGCTCACCAGACAGACAGAGACAGAGAGACAGAAAGCGAGAAATCACCCCCCAGGGGGGGATGGTCACGCCACAATCCCTTCTCATCCATTCTCCTCTCGGGATCTTGGGCACACATGCACACATGCCCGGCATGAGTTTAAGCCTCTGGGTCCAGGACTCGAACCGTGGTTGACTACATGGGAGTCCAGCGACATAGCTATTACGCTAACTGCTGATCCTGACTGGCGGAATCTTGATGGCAAAGGAACAACCCGCATTAGCTGCACCTCACTGCACACACAGTCTCTAGTCTAATCCTTGCAACAACTGCATGAGTCTGGTTTATTCCCATTTTACAGAAGAGGAGACTGAAGGTCTGTGGGAGAAAGGCTGTCTAAAGTCACAGCCAGCAAATGGCACGGCTGCGGGTCTAACCTTGGACCTGTAGTCCCACTGCATGTGTATGTGGAGTGAGAGGCAGGTGGGAGGGACTGAATGGGAGGGTGGGGGGCCGGAGCCGACACACCTGGGGCCTGCCCAGCCTGCAGCCGCGTGCACCTCGCAGGGACACCTACTGAAGCTCACTGCCTTGAGACCACCTACTCTGCCTGAGCACCCAGAAGGCATGGGGTCTAAAAAGCTCAGACGACACTGGGGTACACAACACTAGCTGGCAGCAGAGTCAGGCCTGGAGTTAGAGAAGGCAGGTTCCAAGGGTAACCTCGACAAGCACTCACAGGCCTCACGCCACTGTGGCCCGTCCAGGACTGAGGCCTATGGCTAGGGAGACATCTACCTGTACCTGCCCACAACCACGGGAGGCAGCCCTGGGGCACATGCCGGGACCAGACCATGGGTGGTGAGTGGAGCCTACAATATGATACAAGAACACAGGAGGGCCAGCCCCGCCCTTTGGCCACTGGCTGGTGACCCTGGAAAACCACGTAAGTAATGAGAATGTTCCCTCCAAGCCATGTGGTGCCATGTGCTCCACACGCACTGCCTATGTTTAATGGTCACAATGACCCACTGCTATTCTCACTCCAGAGACTGAAATATCGAGGTGCAGAAGCAGAGTAAGAGCCCCACTGCACAGCAGAGCTGTGCCTGAAGCCACCCCCAACCCCGCCACGTCTGGCTTTAGAGTCACACCCTGCCTGTTTCACTGCCCTGTGTATAAACGGGGACATTTACACATCTGACAGGGCCCAAATGAAACACTGGCTCTGAGGTGTTCTGCAAGCCCTCAGAGGTGAGGTGGGTCCTGATTGCTGCTGGAGCACTCTACAACCACAAGCCTTAAAGGGTCCTCTCGGAGGCCCACATGCAGTTATGGATCCCCTCTGCAAATCCTAGCCTCGCCGGCTGTCTCCAGATCAGGCAGCTTGCCACCTCCCTGGCAGCCTACCCTCCACTGAGTATAGCCTGGCCCATCAGGAAGGTCTTCCAGAGGGACTGCCCTTTCTTCCCCCAGGAGAAAGGCTTGCACTTCAGGGGGAAGAGTGGGAGCCAGGATGCCCAGCTCAGAGTGGGCGCTCACTCCTGAAGGATGCCGACTGATCTGGAAGCACGCAGCTCCTGGCAGGAGGCTGTGGTGCGCCATCCTGCCTACCGGCCTTCAGAAGCCTCTCAAAGAGCCAGCAGGGCAGCTCCCCTGGAAGGACCTTCCCGTCAAGTCCTCTCTCCTGCAGACCCAGACTCTGGAGGGCTGCTCACACTGCCCCATCTCACGGGTGACAACCTGGGATCTAGAGAGGTGAGAGGCTCGTCCAAGGCCACAGAGTAAGTCAGGAGTGAAAGTCAAACTGAGATCAGGGTTTGGGGAAAGTTTTCAAATCAGAAACGCCAGCCTATTCACATAGGACTGGAAGGCTTAGAAGTCTGCTTTTGAAGACGCAGCAGAAACAGTCTCTCCTCCCTGCTCCTGCTGCCCACAGCTCCGGACTGCGAGAAGTGAGGGCAGCACAACACCCACACACACCCCACTTCAGCTGCTCTGCAGGGACTGGGGAGCCGGACAAAGGGCAGGCCCCTGTACAGTCATGGGGACAGCCACATTTTGGGGCCTGTCCTCCCCACCTGGACACCCCAGGCTCCAGGCTGAGTGGTTACTCACAGGAATAAGGCAGCACACCCATCCCCTGTCCCAGTCTGGCTCGGCCACCGGGGCCTTGGCGACCTGGGAAGGCGCAGGTGGTTGAGGGGCTGGAGCTGTTGCGGCTGCTGCCTCCCACCTCCTGGGGGGTGGGGGTTCTCAGCACTGCCAGTGGCTTGGCCCCTGCTGTCTTTTCCTTAAAAATAGGAGAAGGGGCATCCAGGGCCTCATCTGCCATCCATCTCCCTCATCATGTGGGGCCTGTCCACCCAGCACTGGGAGTGCTGTCCATCCAGTACTCGGGACATTCGGGAGGCCCCACTCCCTCCTCACCCAGCTCCTAGAGGGCTCCGGACCAGAAATAATGATCCTTCCATCTCCTCCCATGGCCTCCGCTCAGAGGCACTGAACTCGGACTGGCCCTGGAGACACAGGTTCTCCAGGGAGGCCCGGGGTCACTCCTCATCGTTCATCAGAACTTTCTCAAGTGTGGACAAGCCAGGACGGTGACCAGATTCTACGCTGAACTGACTGCAGCCCACGCCTGGTTACCAGGAGCACTGAGGGGCCGGGGGGCCTAGGGCAGTGTCTGGGAGTCTGTGAGCCCTAGCACCCTGACAGGTCTGCACTCTCTCCCCCCGAGTCTGACCAGGAGTTCCTGCAGCACTGGCCTCACCCCTACGGGACCCACTTCTGAAATGTTCGGCAGAGGTCCCTGCCTGACGCCAATATGCAATTTTTCAAAGAGAACATGAGAATCAAAAGCGTCACCTCCTTGATGGCACTGACTGCTTCACGAGAGTCAAATCTCTCCGAGGGACTGAGGGCAAAAGCAGGGTGACACCTGGGCTGCTAGCTCGTTCAGGACATTTAGGCTAAAAGGTTAATGCAGGCTCCAAAAAAGCAGTATTGCTACGTCTAGTTATGAAATCTATGAAGTAGCTCCAAGACCACACGGTACCTACACCTGGTGCAGAAAGTTCTGGAGCGGTCACTGGCTAATTTCCCTCTGGGAACCACCATGCAGGGTTTCCCCTTTGTGCCTGGTCTCAGCTCGGCACTGTGCAGATGGTGGTGCTTACTGCAGCCTCCCGAAGGGGCCGGCAGCCTCTCCCAACGGCCGGGGGCTGTGGCAGAGGGTGGCGCTCCCTCCCGAGCTCAGGTCCTCCGGGAAGGCGAAGGGATACACAGAACACTGGGGCTGTGCAGAGCTTTCACAGCCGCTGTTCCACCCACCCCATCAGCCCCACGTGGTGGTCATCTGGCCGCCTGGTGCAGCTGAGCTGTGACCAGAACTGTGCTTTCCGGCACGAAGTTGCGAGCATGCTCATCTCCTACCCACTGGAAGTGAGCAGGGCAGCACCCGCAGGGGACAGAAAGAAAGGGCCTGGGAAGTGGAAGTCTGCTTCTCCCCACCTTGACCTAGGAGTCGGAAACTTTCAGACTCTGCCAAGGTGCTCCTTGATGCCCACTCACTGCCAAGGTGCTCCTTGATGCCCACTCGCGTACTGGCCCCAGACTCTGCAAGTCGCACCCAGGCACAGTGCTGCCCCAATGCTGGGCCCTTCTGCCCCAGGGTGAGCTGGACAGAAGTTCGGGATGCTCAGAGAAAGGTCTGGTTCTGGAATTCAATACTGTAGCCTATCCAGCAGGGCAGACACGGACAAAGCCTTTTAGGGTCTCCAGATTGATGAGATTCAGTAAAACAAAGAGCAGGGAAGATGTTTTAGAGCCCTGAAGTTGGTAGGAGTGAAAGGTTCGGCTGGTCTCAGTCCAGGGCTAGCACCTGAGACAGTCCTTGGGGAACTAAGGTGACCTCCGCTCTTGTGCGCGGTGAGGCCCAGAGAGCCTCGCTTGGCCCAGGAGGCCCCTTTCAGGAAGCCGTTGGCTTGGGAACCCTCGCCTTGTTAGTGTGGACTAGAGCAACGTGCCAGACGCTGGTCAGAAACACTGACACGATGAGACACCACTAAGCCTGAGGAAATCCGAAACTTCCGGAACACTCTGCTCTCAGACTGAGAAGACCCATTCTCAGCTTCTAGAACCTTTGTGTTACCACAGCCCAAACACTCTTGTTAGCGATTTTCCCAGGGGTTAAAAAAGGAGACACTAAAAGCTGTCACCAAACTCGGGCAATTAGAGTCCTGAATACTGGTTTTATACCTCCAAAGTTAGGAAGCATGAATTGCTTCCTAAGGGGGGCTACCCTGTGCCGCGTGCTTCACGCCAAGGCCTGACCCTCTTCTGTTTAGTGAACCTACAAGGCAGTGCTGTTCTCGTGCCTGCTGGACAGGTGCAGCTGCCAAGCCTCTGAGAATCCGCCGTGGTTGGGAATGCGCAGTGGAACGAAATCCCCCCTCCTGGGATTCCACACTCCTGAATCATCAGATCCCCTCACGACAGCCTAAAATCCAAGGCCTCTGTCGGTCTCTTCACCTAGGACACGGGACCACGAGTGGCTTAGGCTAAGGGACTGGGGGCCGTTTCTGACTCAAGAGGGGACACTTTGCTTCCAGCCCTAGCCCCCAGCCCCTCTCCCATGGGCTCCTTGGCCAGAGGTCAGCTCAAGGCAACCCCGGCAGGAAGGGGCCACGCAGGCAGCTTAAAAAAGCTGGTGAAAACATGAGCGTGGAGGGATTTGAGGATGGGAAAAACAAGAACTCTGGAGCTGCCATCACCAAGGGCTAACTTCCTTTTAGGATTATGGGGCCAGCCGAAGACAGGACCTCCCTCCAATCTTTCACCACCACAGATGTTCCAACCACCACTGAGGAGAGAACAGCTAGTTAGCTTCGCGGTAAATGCACTTTCGGATGGCGCAGAGGACTGTGGGTCTACGGGCAGACACCTCTTCCTGTAAGAGAGGCGTGTGTGCATGTGGTGGTGGTGGGGGGGGGCACTACCCCACCCCCAGGGAACCGGAAACCTGTGAAGGGGCCCAGGGAATCCTAAACACCTACAAGCAAGCCAGGGAGGGACAAGAATTCCAGGCAGAGCAGAAAAGGGAAAGAACACCCCAGAGCAAAACCCTCCTGTACTATGTGAGACTGTCCCACTCGGATTTCTAGCCTCTTTCAGATAGTTGGGTTCTAGAGAATTCCCAAGGAAGGTGAAATGTAACAGACTCTCCACCACGGCTACTACAGAAAACAGAGCCATACTCAGATACTCGAAGGAGTGGGAACATCCATGAGAAGGTTCCAGAGCAGGAGTGGCCTGTCAGACCCTTGCCTGGATGGTCCTTCCCTGTGGGTCATATGGGGATGACTACTTTGCTGTACTGGGTCATCCGAAAAGTCATGACTCATTTCTGCACAGAAAAGCATGTCTGAACTTTTCCGACGACCAGATAATTATGAAGAGGTACACAGGACACTTGAAATCCTTTTTTCCTTGTTTCTAAACTGCCCTCTTCGGCAATGGAGCCCTCAGGTCAAAAGGAATATCAGCACTGGCCCGTGAAGTGAGCTAAGGCTCTGGGTGGGAGTGGGTGCTGGGGGCTTTGGCCTCTTCTCAACCCTGTGAACCCCGAGTACAGACTTGCCCTTCATTTAACAGGCAGGAAAGCCCAGGCCTGCTGGGGCCCATACTAGTCCAAGCGACCCATCTCAGGACGAATGACGGCTGGCGGGGTCAGCACTGCCCCTCACTCGCTTGCCCTCCTCTGGCTTCTCATCAACGGTGGCCCCTGAGCCATCTCAAGGATACAGAGTTCCCGGGGTGGGGAGGCAGCTTTGGGATTCCTGTAGGCCCACAGCACAGCTTGGGCACCAGACCCCCTGTGCCTTTCAGGTTCCTCAAACCACAGGCCAGGACACTCTGCCCTGGAAAAGCCTACCTATTGGAAGGTTCCCAGACCGTCCCCTCGCCCAGGCTTCCTGGGGTCCCTTAATTCTCTCTGCTGCCTGCTGAGGGGCTGTTCCTGGTGGTGTGCAGGGAGTTGGGGACCTGGGCATTCCTCTCCTCTCACCCCCGTGCATCGAGAGACATGGAGCAGACAGAACATGGAAGGAGGAGAGAAGGCGGGTGCACACACGTGGCCAGGAAGACGGATAGACAGACGGATGGTTGGTTACCTGTGGGCCAGGCCCCATGGGCCCCATGCCTCGGGGAGGATTCATTCTCTGCATTGATCCTCCCATGTTGGGGTGGCCTGTGTGAAAAAGCAGATGAGTCACGGGGTGGCAATAGAGGGAAGAGCCCCCACCAACACCCCGGGCCAGCCCGTCTCTCCTGCTCTACCTTGTTGTCGTGTGGGATCCATGGAATTGGGCAGCAATGGCTGCGTCCCAGGAACTCCTCCTGGAGGCTGAAAGAGAGGTGAGATGCCAGCTGAGGAGGCTGCTCCCTGCGCTGGTGGGTGGAGAGAGCTACATCTCCTGTCCACCCAATTTCCCGCCCGGCTGTTTGGGCCACTCAAGGCCTCCCAAGACCATCGCCACTGCCTGCCAGCCGGGGAGGTTCCTCGAGCATGGCAAGTTGCTGGTGCTAGCTTTAACTGCTGCAGCTGGGGAGAAAGTGTCACCCCACCCTGCCTTCCTGGGTCTGGATACCTGCAGTGAGTATCCAGGCCTAGAGACCTGCAATGAGCCAGGATGGTTCTCCAGGTCATCCTCTGGCTGTGCTGCCCACCATAGCCCCTTCAAGAGCAAAAGCGCTCCTCCTTCCTATCCCCCAGACTCCAGCCACTGCAGCTCCATCTTTCCTGGGCTTCGTGGAGATGGAACTCATCTCATCTCTGCCTCCAAGTTTCAGGGACTGACAGACGCACTGGCTAAAGTCCGACGGCCATGGGAAGTCCTTTTTAAAGGGGAGCAGGGGATGAGAAGGCCTTTGAGATTTAGATGGGGAAACTGAGGTCCAGAGACCCAGTGGTCTCCGCCACATTACAGCAAAGCCAGAGTGGTGAGCACCCAAGTCTCCTGGCTTCTGTTGACTTCTACCACACGGAATGATGCCTTCCAACCTTGCGGGTGAAAAGGGCGCCCGGGGAAGAGCAAGGGACACTGAAGAGAAGGTGCTCACTAACGGCAGGTGCAAGCAGCGAGTGCTGGTGGGGCTACTAGTAAGAAGGCACGGACTCAGGACCAGCAGGTGACATAGTGGTTAAGGGTGTTGGACTCCCACATGGTTAACCACAGTTCGAGTCCCAGACCTGGTGGCTTGCTCGTTCACTTTCTCTTCCACCACCCTCTGGGTCAAATTAAAGAATAAAGTTAAATAAAGAAAAGAAAAGAAAAGAAAAGAAAAGGAAAGGAAAGGAAAGGAAAGGAAAGGAAAGGAAAGGAAAGAAAAGAAAAGAAGGCAAGGGCAAGGCACTGCGGGTTTCCTAGGTATAGGCTTGGCATGGCAGCTGTGAAATCTATTAAGAGTACTTTATTTGGGACAGAAGTTGCTTCAGTTGAAACAAAAAGCTGGAGAGAAAAGCTTGCTTGTAGGATCCCATCCCTTAGGACCAAACAGGAGCTCCTGCCTTTGAGAGGAAAAGCCGTGGTGACAGTTGGTCACCACCACCCCCCACACACACCTGCAGGTGCTGGTACACCTGTGACACAGAGCCATGTCTGAGGGCCTAGAGCCCCGGCCCTGTGCTGTGGGGCAGGTGAGGGACGATCATCCACCTGCGGCCCAACAGCGAACTCCAGAGGGTTTCAGGAAGTGGGAGGTGAGCTTCAGGATGGAAGTGTGTGTGGCCAGGGTTGGGAGGCTTACGTGCGGGCCACGTCTGCACACAGCCCGTTCACTTTCTCTTCCACCACCCTCTGGGTCAAATTAAAGAATAAAGTTAAATAAAGAAAAGAAAAGAAAAGAAAAGAAAAGAAAAGAAAAGAAAAGAAAAGGAAAGGAAAGGAAAGGAAAGGAAAGGAAAGGAAAGAAAAGAAAAGAAGGCAAGGGCAAGGCACTGCGGGTTTCCTAGGTATAGGCTTGGCACACCCGCTGTGAAATCTATTAAGAGTACTTTATTTGGGACAGAAGTTGCTTCAGTTGAAACAAAAAGCTGGAGAGAAAAGCTTGCTTGTAGGATCCCATCCCTTAGGACCAAACAGGAGCTCCTGCCTTTGAGAGGAAAAGCCGTGGTGACAGTTGGTCACCACCACCCCCCACACACACCTGCAGGTGCTGGTACACCTGTGACACAGAGCCATGTCTGAGGGCCTAGAGCCCCGGCCCTGTGCTGTGGGGCAGGTGAGGGACGATCATCCACCTGCGGCCCAACAGCGAACTCCAGAGGGTTTCAGGAAGTGGGAGGTGAGCTTCAGGATGGAAGTGTGTGTGGCCAGGGTTGGGAGGCTTACGTGCGGGCCACGTCTGCACACAGCCCAGGCAGGACCTGGTGCCTGGCAAGTGGTGTTCGGCACCTGCTGGTGCCACATGCCTGAGAGTGCTGTTTGTCTCTCCAGTCCCTAGAGTTTCACTGCTCCGATCTCTTACTTTCTCCCAGCCCTGCTTCCTTGCCCTGAGTTTCCAAGCTGTGAATCACTTGGCTGGCTTGTGTCTGCCCCTAGGGCTTGGAGCCGGGACACCAGACTCCGAGAGGATCCAGGAGGCTGGCTCTGAGGCTGTCTGGTTTGGATGGGGACCTCAGGTCACGAGTTACCCTGTATAGGAGCACCCTCTTCCAGCCCTGATGGCGTAGCCCTGGGGGCTGGGCAGTTCCAGGGAGAGGACACCTCCCTCCCCAGGAAGCCTGTGCTGACCCACTCATTAGGGCCCAGCTCCCTAAACCCGCTGTGGGTCAGGACTCCAACAGCCAAGCTGGGCTGCCCAGAGGCTGAGAGGGGGGTGGGCAGTGCCTTTCTCATAGCCCCTGTAACCCTGAGATAGGGACAGGACAGTCTGGGCCTCCACTGTAAGGGACAGAAGGTGCACGATGACCAGGGAAAAGGGCTCCCACACCAAGAAAGCTGAGGCCCTCAGACCTAAGAAATGACGACAAACAATGGCTCGCACCCCTGGGGGCAGTAGGGAGAGGGAGGCTCTGGGCTGACAAAGGCTCCTGGAAGTAAGCCAG